CACACACACACACGACCCAGGCACTGTCCAGATACTTTTTTGCTCAAAGCTAGCACCCTACCACTGGAGCCACAGCATCACTTCTGACCTTTTCTGAGTAGTTTATTGGAGGTTAAAGTCTCAAGGCCTTTTCTACTGGGACTGGTTTTGAACCCAAATCTTCAGATCTCAGCCCCTGAGTAACTAGAATTACTGGGATTAGATCTTTTTTTTTTTTAAACCTTCAGTAAGGTTCTACCCTAGAAAGATGGGAAGTATGGGCTGAGAAGGTGGCTCAGTGGTAGAGCGCTTACCTTGCATGCCTGAGGCCCTGAGTTCGACTCCTCAACACCACATAAGCAAAAAGAAAAAAGCCGGAAGTGGTGCTGTGGCTCAAGTGGTAGAGCGCTAGCCTCGAGCTGAAGAGCTGAGGGACAGCACCCAAGCCCAGAGTTCAGGCCCCACGACTGGACCAAAAAAAAAAAAGATGGGAAGTAATAAAATTTCAAATGAAATGAATTAAGTAGAATGTAAAAAATAAAGCAAGAGCTTATTGTTTCTTTTAACCAAACACCTAAAAATCATCTAATGTTATACTAAATTAGATAGTGGACATAGAATTTTTGCTGGGTGATAGAATTTAAATATTTAACAAATTCTAACAAAATATTTACATGTAAATTTTTGCTGGTAAAAGTTTTAAAGCTGTATCTTTTTTACTTAATTTTTTTTGGGGGGGGGTCAGTCGTAGGGCCTAAACTCTGAGCCTGGGCGCTGTCCCTCAGCTCTTCAGCTCAAGTCTAGCACCCTACCACTTGAGCTACAGCGCCACTTCCAGCTTTTTCTGCTTATATAGTACTGAGGAATTGAACTCAGGGCCTCAGGCATGCAAGGCAAGCACTCTACCATTGAGCCACCTTCCCAGCCCCTTACTCAATATTTTTTTTTTCGCCAGTTTGGTGTTTGAACTCAGGGCCTGGGTACTGTCCCTGAACGTCTCTATGCTCAAGGCTAGCACTCTATCACTTGAGCCACTCCGGCTTTTTCTGTTTATGTGGTACTGAGGAATTGAACCCAGGGCTTCATGCATACTAGGCAAGCACTCTACCACTACCACTAAGCCACATTCCCAGCCCTTACTTGATATTTTTTAAAGCTATGGCTAAGTATGAAAGTATAAGGCTAAGATTTTTTTTTGGGGGGGAGGCAATATTTAGGCTTAAGTGTAAGGCCCAAGGCTAGTGCTCTACCACTTGCACCACATCTCCACTTCTAGCTTTTTAGTAGTTACCTGGAGATAAGAGTCTCATAGACTTTCCTGCCCAGCTTGCTTTGAGCCAGGATATTCATATCTAAGGTTCTGGAGAAGCTAGGATTACAAGTGTGAGGCACTGACACCTTGTTAAGCCTAGTATTTGTAATACACAGGAGGGGTACTTCCCAATCCTTTCTCATAATACTTAGACATAGTGATTCCTGTCTGTAATCCCCAGTATTTTTCAGATAAAGGCAGAAAGATCATGAGCTCAAGGCCAGTCTGGGAAACATAGAAAGACCTTGTCTCAAAAAAGAATTGTTTTTGAGAACCAACTGTCAAACAGACTGCATTAAGGGGATGTAAATTTGCTTTGTAGTTTCAGATATAGTGCATCCATTATCAAATGTGGCAGAGTGTTCTTTCCTAGAATACTGAAAATTCCAAGCAAGTTCCATGACATCTCTACTTTCCAATGAATCCTTGTTTCTTTTGTTGTTGTTCTTGTTTTCAGCCTTGTAGCCTAAACGGACCTCAAAATCACCATCCTCTTACCTCGGCCTCTCAAACCCTGGAATTACATGTGCCCATGTTACAAACTATTTTCTTTCAAGTGGATTACACGTATCTGCAAGCACACACCTGCATCCACACAGTCACAAAAGCAGAGGGATGCACAAAGAAAGGGGATCAGGATAAAAAGCACAAAATCCCCCAGGAAAATATGAGACCAAATGACTCTGAATCAAGAAACAGTGAGTATGAAATGACAGTGGGTATGTTTCTGAGTAGAGAAATCCTTACATGAGACAATTTTGAAAATTTTTTTTAATCTATACAAGGTACACAAAGTTTATATTTAAAATATTTTACTTACGGAAAAAATCCTTTTTCACCAAGTTTTTTGCACAGAGTACTGTAAAGGAAACAAAAAAAAATACATGGGAAAAATTAAAACTAAATGGTAACACTGCATTGTATTAATTTAGGGCCCAGTGGATAATTAAACATTAACTATAGTGAGGCATAAATATGATCAAAAACTTGTATTAAAGTCTAGCTAACAGGAGACAGCTGAACATGAATGGCTGAACACTAATGAATGCAACTTTAGCAATAATCACTAGTAATAGCTAAAGCTTATAAAGCTTAATCTAATCAGAATACAATTCCTACCTTCCATTAAGTTCTATTCCTATAGAAACAGTGGCAATAGTAAATAATAGTTCTAATAAGATGCATAAGTCCAGGTTGATATATTAAGGATGAAATAATGTTACGTTAAATCAGATAAATAAAAGCTCTTCTAATATAGGTAACGTTTTCTAACATATTCAGTTTTTGTCAGTATTTTGTTAGGAATGACAAAATTAGTTTATTGTAACTTTTAGAATTAAAAGTATAGTAAAGCTAAATATCAAAAATCTGAGTATCCTGCATTAAATTACTTATGTGGATATATTCACAACGTTGTGAATATACAAAAAAATCACTGAAATACAAGTTAAAAGGATAAATTTTATAATACACATGTACTTCCATTTTAAATTATTACTTACATAGTCAAATTTCTTTCATCTCAAACTTGACAACTGAAGGAAAGGTATCTATTCTAATAATTAAATTATCAAATGTGTTTTACTAATTTCTACACATTCAGTTTTAGTGGTCTATTTATTTTGTAACAATTATTGTAAGCTTAGAGTATAGAAATTCCCTTAACATATCAAGCCAGGAGAAGTCTAAAACACTTTAGAAATCAAAGTTCTTTTGAAAACAAATGCTTATCAAAAAAAGAAAAAAATTATCACAGAATAAAATTATCACAAGATACCGATTTACTAGTCAGAGTCCCTTAGGCCATGTTTTAGAAACAATAAAAAAACACAAAGCACTCAATCATGAAAACTAGGGCATAAATAAGAATACTAGGGCTGGGAAGGTGGCTCAGTGGTGGAGCACTTGCCTTGCATGCCTGAGGCCCTGGATTCAATTCCTCAGCACCACATAAGCAAAAAGAAAAAAGCCGGAAGTGGTGCTGGGGCTCAAGTGGTTGAGTGCTAGCCTTGAGCTCAAGAGCTGAGGGACAGCGCCCATGCCCAGAGTTCAGGCCCCACGACTGGACCCAAAAAAAAAAAAAAAAAAGAATACTAAGCACAAACTTTCCTCCAAACTTTTACTACCACATAAATTGAACAATGCATATATAACACACATATAAATCCCACTTACAATCTTCAATATTAATGCAATAACAATGATTTTTTCAAAACCACCATGATTCTATGATTCCTGAAATGACTACGCACATCAGATAGGAAAAGTAGAATATGGGTGCCAGTGGCTCACACCTGCAATCCTAGCTACTCAGGAGGCTGAGAACTGAGGATCACGGTTCAAAGCCAGCCCAGGAAGGAAAGTCTGTGAGACTCTTATTTCCAATAAACCACTAGAAACCACCTTGAGCTGAAGAGCTGAGGGATAGCGCCCAAGCCCAGAGTTCAAGCCCCACAACCGACCAAAAAAAAAAAAAAAAGCTCAGAGACAGTGCCCAGGCCCTGAGTTCAAGCCCCAAAAACGGTCAAAAAAACAAAAACCTATACCCAAATAAGAGGAAAAATCCAGTGGAATTGATAAATTCCTAGAGATACACAAATTGCCCAAGCTGAACCAAAAAGATATAAACAGACTCATAATATGCAATGAGACTAAGGAGTAGCCACAAGGAAAGCCCACATCCCACTGAATTCTGTAAGACTTTTAAAGGTGAATGCTAGTACTCCTCAAACTTTTCTGTGAAAGAAATAAAGGATCAATTCCAAACTCATTTTATGAAGCCAGTATCAGATTTATCCCAAAACCTGGTAGTGATCCAACAAAAAAAAAGATAACTATAGTAGACCAGTCTCTCCAATGAACACAGACACAAAACTCTTCAAAAAAATACTAGCCAACAGAATTCAACAATAATCAAAAAAATCATACATTATAATCAATTAGGTTTTATCCCAGAAATGTAAGGCTAGTTTAACATATGTAAATCAATAACCATAATACATCACAGTAACAGAGCCAAAGACAAGAAGTGCATGATCATCTCAATGAAGAAAAAGCCTTCACAAAATCCAACACCCATTCATGTTAAAAGCTCTAGTAAAGCTAGGAATAGAAGGAACATTTAAAAAATAATGTAGGATATATATATATAACAGATCAACAACCAACATCATACTGAATGGTAAAAAGCTAAGACCATTTCCTCTAAAATCAGGAACAAAGCAATGATGTGCACTCTCTCCACTCCTGTTCTGGAATTCCTTGCTAGAGCAATAAGACAAGAGAAAAACATAAAGGGATTCAGAAGTCATATTGTCCCTATTTGAAGATGACAGGATCTACAGAACCCAAAAAACTCCATCCCCAAGTTCCTGGAGCTGATCAATAACTTTGGCAAAGTAACAGGACACAAAATTAACCCACAGGCCAGGCACGGGTGGCTCACGCCTATAATCCTAGCTACTCAGGAGGCTGAGATCTGAGTGAGGATCGAGGTTCAAAGCCAGCCCGGGCAGGAATGTCCGTGATACTCTTATTTCCAATAAACCACTAGAAAACCGGAAGTGGCGCTGTGGCTCAAGCGGTAGAGCACTCACCTTGAGCTGAATAGTGCAAAGATAGCATCCAAGCCCAGAGTTCAAGCCCCATGACCGACAAAAAAAGAAAAAAATTAACCCACAAAAATCAGTAGCCCTTCTGTATATGAACAATGTACAAGCAGAGAGGGAAATCAGGGGGGGAAAACTCCATTTGCAGTAGCCTCTAAATAAATAATCTGGGAATAAACATAACTAAGAATTCAAAAGACTTTTATAGCAAAAACTATAAAAATTTGAAGAAATCAAAAAGAACATCAGGAAATGGAAAGACCTTCCATGTTCATGGATAGGTAGAATATTATGAAAATGACCATACTGCCAAAAATGATAAACATTTTTCCCATCAATACATTTCATCTTTTTTACTGAATTTATAATAAAGAAAGTAGTGAGGGGAGGGGAGCAATTAAGAGTTGGAACTCAAACACTTGGAAGAGAAAAAGTAAATTGTATCAACAAGAGGAGGAGTAGGAGAGAGTCAGAGCAAGCTTTACCCACCTTTCAACAATCCATGAAATCTGGAGGGAAGCAAAAGATCAGGAGAGAGAAGTGGTGTTGTCTTCAGTCTGTCCTCCCCCAGGACAGGGAGTTTCCATGCTACCCAGCAAAAATTCAGATCAGCTCAGAGCAGCTGGCTTTCCCACTGTATACACAAATGTGACTCCTCTCCCTGACCTCCTGGAGAATGGCTAGGTCCACCTTAGTAAGCAGAAATGGAGGGATCACAAGGGGAGGGATGTCCAGAAATAAGGAAAGGTCAGTTGGAACCCCCTATACTGATTCTCCTCTGGCTGGAGGTGGGCAGAATGGAGACACAGCTAAATCTGAGCAGCCAGAAAAAGAAGAAGGCAAGAAACAGGGGAAATCCTGCCAACTGGAGACGGAGTGACCCTGTCCCAAATCCACATCTGCACCCCTGCGAAAAGGCTCATAGGCATTGAAGACGGTGGGGGGAAAAAAGCCAAAGGGAAAAACACCAACACCAAAGAGAAGTGGAATCCCTCTCTGCTCTCAGGAGCTGGTCACTGGCACTGAGGGCAGGATAAAGTTTTCAATCTGAGATCCTGGAGCTTCTGGCTGCCTCGCAAGGACAACCTTATCTCTGCTGATGCCAGCTTTGCAGACGGGGCATTAAGGTGGCCACACACACTTGACTACTGCTTCCCCAATGGTCTCCAAACATATATTACATTCGAAGGTCACACCTGCCTTGCCCCACTTGAAGTTTGGCCCTTCAGGACTGCCATCCTCCTCTCTGCAGCTGCCATTGCAGCTCAGTTTCACCCCTACATATTCCCTTGGCCTCCCCAAATACAAACACATACACGCACATACCCCAACAAAATCATGATCTACAAATTTAATGCAATTTCCATCAAAATCCCAATGAAACTCTTTACACCTAGAGAAAGCAATCCAAAATTTCATATGGATCAATGAAAGACCTCGAATACCCAAAGCAATTCTAGGCAAAAAGAAAAGCAATGCTGGAGGTATCACAATCACAGACCTTAAGCTCTACTACCGAGCTATAACAAAACAACCTGAAGCTCAATGGAACAGACTAGAAGATCGAAAATAAAACCACATGCTTACATCTATCTGATATTTGATAAGGAGCCAAAGATAAAAAGGATAAAAGCTGGGAAGGTGGCTCAGTGGCAGAGCACTTGCCTTGCATGCCTGAGGCTCTGGGTTCGATCCCTCAGTACCACATAAGAAAAAAGAAAAAAGCTGAAGTGGCGCTGTGGCTCAAGTGGTAGAGCGCTAGCCTTGAGATGAAGAGCTGAGGATAGCGCCCAGACCCAGAGTTCAGGCCCCATGACCGGACCCAAAAAAAAAAAAAGGATAAAAGCCTCCTCTTCAATCATTGGTGTTGGGAAACTTGGGCATCAATATGCAGAAAACTAAAAATGGATCCTAATTTGTCATCATGCACTAATACCAAATCAACATGATCAAAGACCTCAACATCAGACCTGAAACTTTGAAATTACTTCAAGAAGGAAGAGAAACACTAGAACTCATAAGCATAGGCAGAAATTTTTTGAAAAGTCCTATGGGTACAGTCAATAGGACAGACTTGACAAATGGGATTACATCAAAATAAAAAGTTTCTGCACAGTTAAGGACATAATAAACTAGAAAGACAGCCAGCAGATTAGGAGATCTTTACCAGCAATATATCCAACAACGGCCTAATATTCAAAGTACGCAATGAGCTCAAGAAATTAACTGCCTCCAAAGCTAATAAACCAATCACTAACTGGGCAAAGATGCTAAGGAGAGACTTCTCAGAAGAGGTGAAAATGACAAAGAAACACATGAGGAAATGCTTATCATCCCTGGTCATAAAGGAAATGCAAATCAAAACAACTCTTAAATTCCATCTCACCCCAGTCAAATGTTGGCAGGGATATGGGGAAAAAGGAACCCTGCTGGTAGGATTGTAAACTAGTACAACCACTCTGGATAACAGTCTGGAGGTTCCTCAAAAAAACTAAACACAGATAAGACCCAACCATACCACTCCTGGGCACCTACCCGGAACATCACAAGCCAGTATACCATAGGACACTTGCATATCCATGTTCACTGCTGCACTATTCACAATAGCTGAGTTATGGAAACAATCCAGATGCCTTACAATAGATAAGCAGTACCTGTACACAATGGAATTTTACACAGCCATTAGAAAGAATAGTATGTCATTTAGAAAGAAATAGATGGGCCAGGCGCTGGTGGCTCAAGCCTGTAATCCTAGCTACTCAGAGGCTGAGATCTGAGGATCGCGGTTCAAAGCCAGCCCGGGCAGGAAAGACCGTGAGACTCCTATCTCCAATAAACCACCAGAAAACCAGAAGTGGCGCTGTAGCTCAAGTGGTAGAGCACTAGCCTTGAGCTGAAGAGCTGAGGGACAACGCCCAGGCCCAGAGTTCAAGCCCCACGACCGACCAAAAAAAAGAAAGAAATGGATGGACCTAGAACAAATTATGTTAAATGAGGTAAGCCAAGCTCAGAAATGCAAATGGCATGTTTTCTCTCAAATGCAAAAGCTTGATCTAAAATGTACTGGGACACAATAAATTATACAGGACTCTAGTTAAAGTCACACATAGTGAGACTCAAGGAGGATACTCTTAGGAGAGGAACACAAAGGCGCAATGCCTATGTGCATATGATAATATAAAATAATATTTATCAAAATGAACTCTAGGAAATAGAAACAAGGATTTTTTTCTTTTTTTTTTTTTGCTGTCTTGGGGGAGGGTAAGCAGGGGCACAGAAATGTAGAGACAAATGCAGTAATGGTGTGGTCCCTGTCTGGGCCTGGGCTCTGTCCCTGAGCTCTTCAGCTCAAGGAAAGGGCTCTACCACTTGAGCCACAGTTCCACTTCTGGCTTTCTAGTGGTTAACTGGAGATGAGAGTGCATCATCAACTTCCCTGCCTGGGTTGGATTTGAATCATGATCCTCAGATCTCAGCCTCCAGAGTAGCTAGGATTATAGGTGTGAGCTACCAGCATCTGGTTTGGGATTACTTTTTTTTTTTTGGGGGGGGGGGAGGGTCCGGTTGTGGGGCCTGAACTCTGGGCCTGGGCGCTGTCCCTCAGCTCTTCAGCTCAAGGCTAGCGTTCTACCACTTGAGCCACAGTGCCACTTCCGACTTTTTTCTTTTTGCTAATGTGGTGCTGAGGAATTGAACCCAGAGCCTCATGCATGCAAGACAAACGCTCTACCACTGAGCCACCTTCCCAGCCCTGGAATTACTTTTTTTAGTACTAAACTTTGTTTTTCCTGTATTTGTTACACTTACCAGTGCCAGATATACTATACAGCACTATACATCTCTAGCTCTGCAAGTTTATGTCACAAACCAAGTAGATTAGCACGACAAACAGTATTCCTAGAAGCTACGTGTGTCTGTCTGTCTGTCTCTCTCTCTCTCTCTCCTAGGGCTTGAATTTAGGGTCTAGGTACTGTCCCTGAGCTTTTATGTTTAGACTAGCACTCTACTACTTGAGCCACAGCTCTACTTCTGGCTCTTTTGGTTTAACTGGAGATAAGTCTCATGGACTTTCCCGCCCCAGCTGGCTTTGAACGCCCCAGCTGGCTTTGAACGGAGATCCTCAGATCTCAAACTCCTGAGTAGTTAGGATTATAAACATGAGCCACAGGCACCTGGCTAATAGAACTAACAATGCCTGACTACATACAGACTATGAACCACAGAAATATAACCTGCTTAAAACCAAACAAAATCCCCAAGTCAACATCACCATAGCCAGGTCCCAAAAATACCCACAGACATTCCACTGTCACTCAGTGTAAGGAGAAGTATAATAGAGGGAAAGTTGACATAAAAAGACAACAATCTGACTGTGGTTACAGTAACACATTTGCAAACTCTTCAAAAGTATGTGACCACATGCTGGCAATGTTCTGTTTCTTGATCTGCATAGTGATTGTATAGGTATTCTGTAGTCAAAATCTCAGGCTACACACTTAAAATCTACCTTTTTTTCAGTATATGTACAATATACCAAAGTTTTTTATTTGTTTGTTTTGGTGCTGGTCCTGCACTTAAACTCAGGACCTGGATGCTTTCCCTGAGTTTTTGTGCTCAAGGCTAGCACTCTACCCTTAAGCCACAGCTCTGTTTCTGGCTTTTTTGGCAAAGCGGGAGGGTTAGTTAATTAGAGATAAAGTCTCACAAACTTTCCAGCCTGGACTGGCTTTGAATGGCAATCCTCAGTTCTCAGCTTCCAGACTAAATTAGCTAGGATTACAGGCATGAATCATTTTTTGTTTGTTTTTGTTTTTTGCCAGTCTTGCAGCTTGAACTCCGGACCTGGGCACTGTCCCTGCGCTTTATTTGCTCAAGGGTAGCACTCTACCACTTGAGCCACAGCACCACTTCTGGCTTTTTCTGTTTATGTAGTACTGAGGAACTTCAACCCAGAGCTTCATGCAAGCTAGGCAAGCACTCTACCACTAGGCCACATTCCCAGCCCCATGAATCATTTTTTAAGTAATCTTGTGAGTACATTGCTTCCTAGGCCCTCAGACTGAGTCCTGGAATTAAGCATCATTGTTGTAAGCATTATGCCCACCTTTGGTCCTCAGCTCCACCCAGATGTGAGATCCCCCTGCCCTGAAGCTCCTGCTTTACAGCTGGCCCCTCCCTCTATCTGCCCAGACCCACCTGAGATCCCATCTACCTCACTTCCTACCTACAGACCCTGCTGCTACCTAGATAGTAAAGGCTGCCATGTGCTCTCTCTCTGGGGCAAATATGGCTCCTCTAATAAACCTTGTAATAATCTTTCTTCCGGGCCTGGTCCCCTGGGATGGATGTGATGGATCCTTTCAATTGTTTTCGTGGTATACTCACTGTTGTATATAGCAAGCTGGTTGTCACGAGAAATGGTTTCCAATACCATGTATACCATGAACTAGACACAGAACCTAAAGACACACATGACTTCCCTAAACACTTTTTTCACCTAAAATGATATTAAACTATAAACTCTAAAACCTACTTTTACCAATCACTCAGGAAATATTTTCTAAGAACCTCTGTTAAGTAATACATTAGATGAGTTAGGAAAACACACACACACACAGAGCCCCACAGGAATTCCAATCTAGTGGGAAGAAGCAGTAGGAGGGATTAGGAAAAAAATCTGAGCTGGGTGCTGGTGTCTCACATCTGTCTAATACAAAGCAAGAACTTCTGTCTCTGTAGGATGCAATACTGAGTTCATAACAAAGGGCCTAAAATAAGGTACAGAATTTCAATATAAGCTAGTCACTTTCACAATCTGATCCTTCAAATCCAGCAAAGATTGGGAATGACTTTGGATTTATTTTACAGGTCTCAACCCCAACTTGGCATCTATCTACCTGTGTAGAAACAGCTCCATCTATGGGCAACTAAAGAGACTACAGGCTATTTTTTTTAAGTGTCAGCATGCTACAAGGAACTGTATTAATACATTTCCCCCAGCTGTAGCCTCCAAATCCAAAGCCATTTAAACTAGTTTCCAAAGTTGTTCTTACCAAGAATTTTGAGAGGAAAGGAACAGAAAAGATCAGTTAATTATTTAAATGTTTACTATTATTTTTACATAACCTTAACAGAGTAGCTAATCATATATATATTTTTTTAAGTTTGGCAGTACTGAGGATTGAACCTAGGGTTTTGCACAAGTATTCTACATCTTGATCCTCCCTCCAGCCCTCATGTTTTATTAACTATACTAACACACTTGGCACCCTAAGCATTCAGAAATCCTTTTTTGTTGTTGTTGGTCATGGGGCCTGAACTCTGGCCTGGGCACTGTCCCTCAGCTCTTCAGCTCAAGGCTAGCACTCTACCACTTGAGCCACAGCACCACTTCCAGCTTTTTCTGTTTATGTGATGCTGAGGAATCGAACCCAGGGCTTCATGCATGCAAGGCAAGCACTCTACCACTGAGCCACCTTCCCAGCCCAGAAATTTATTCTTATCTTAAAAAGCATGGCATAATTTAAATCTAAACATTGTATCTGTTTCTGTAAAATATAAACTACAGTTGGCTTTAACAACTTATTTAAAACACAATCTTTGGTCAAAAGATTTAAGGGCTCACACCTGTAATCCCAGCAACTCAGGAGGCAGAAAACAAGAAGTTCACAGCTGGAGGTTAGCCCAGGCAAACCATAGTAAGACTTCAAGTCAAGTACAAACTGCAGTGGAGGGCATAGGCAGGAGGATCACAGTCTGATACCTGCCCCAGGAGAAAGTGCAAGACTTCAGTCACAAACTAAAAGTAAAGAGAGCTAGTGATTTGCCTTGAGTAGCTAAACATCAGCCAGGCAAGTGTAAGGCCTTGAATTCAAACCTCAGTACTACCAAAAAAGACAAAAAATAATGTTGGGGTTGGTGGCTCCTACCTGTAATTCTAGCTATTGAAGAGTTTGAGAACTGAGAGGCTCACAGATTAAAGCCAGCTGTGGAGCTATGGCTCAAGTAGTAGGGCAACAGCCTTAAGAAGAAAAGAAAAGCAACAGCACCGATGCTCTAAGCTCTAACCACAGCACCAGCACACACACGCGCGCAGAAAACAAAAAGATATTTATATAACACTTTACAAGTGAGCCAGGCCTGGTGGCTCACACCTGGAATCTTAGCTACTCAGGACGTTGAGATCCGAGAGTTGTAGTTCAAAGCCAGCCCAGACAGGAAAAGTCCATTAAACTCTTATTTCCAATTAACTACCAAAAGCCAGAAGTGGTGCTACGGTTCTAACCTTGAACAAAAAGAGCTTAGGGACAGCACCCAGGCCCTGAGTTCAAGCCCCAGTTACTGGCACAAAAAAAAATAAAATAAAAAAATAAACTGGGGGCTGGGAAGGTGGCTCAGTGGTAGAGCACTTGCCTTGCATGCCTGAGGCCCTGGGTTCGATTCCTCAGCACCACATAAGCAAAAAG